CGAGGTCTTGACTTCGGATCAGTACTTTGAGGAGGAGATCATTCTCAAGATGCCCAAATTCTATCTAGGTGGTGACAGTATTCAACTGACTTCGGAGCTTCAAAAAATGGGTCTGAAAACGATTTTCAGTGACGATGCCGATTTCTCAGGCATAACTGGAGACAGGTCACTCTTTGTTTCTGACGTCTATCATCAGGCTATGATTGAGGTGAATTCTCTTGTTGTTATTAAAACTATTTTGATTCAGGTTGATGAAGAAGGAGCTGAAGCTGCTGCTGCCACTGCTGTAATAATGATGATGAGATGTGCGTTGATGCCACAGACGTTTATTATCGATCATCCTTTCTTCTTCTTTATCATCTCTCAGACTGGTCTGCCTGTCTTCATGGGACATATTTTGGAGCCAAAGACTAAATAAGACATTTATCTCGGCAGCTTATCTTTCTGTGTGGATATCTTTCTACTCCACTTGGACTCGCTTAATTCAACTCTTTTTCTCTTTTTTCTTAGATTCAATTTTACCCTTCCTCTTTTGAAGAATACATCATATGGCCTGCTATTAAATTTTTGCTTTTCTTTTAAATTATGTGCCGCCATAAATATATTTCCATTATTTCCATTTTATTCAATCTTATCTGGTCCCAAAAATGTGTATGTCTTAACCGTGTAATTAATTAGACATGATGAGATATACGAAGTTATAGTTTGCTTAAAGTCAAGGCAGATTTGAAGTATCTCCATTGTCAACAATCAACGAATTAGACATTGAACCAAATTCCATTGTGATTAAATTTTTAAAAAAACACGATTTTTTGTGATCAAAAGGAATACCAATCTTTGTGCTAAATGGATGACTAATGGAGCATCAAATTGCACTTAAATTGTGCTCAATAAAAGGAATTTCCAAAGGTCAGTCATTTTATGAGTTGATTGAGAAAAATAAGTTGTGAAATTTCAACCAAAAAGAATTTAATCTTTTTTGCATTTCATTAATAGGATCATTAACGTTACCTGTTTATGATCTGGGAACATTTAACATGCATGTGTTGGAAAATTGGTAGTGTTTCATGGAAATATGTGTGCATTCTTGTTCTTCATCTTTACCATCTAGTAGGCATTGGTAAAAAATAATAAAATGAATGTACCGGCTCTTTAATATTTGCCCTTAATATTTGCATTGACATCTGATTGACATTTACCAATTTTTACTAGCAATATCTGGTGATTATTGACGCCAAGTTGATGGAAGTTAGAATTTAAAATTATATTGAGATTGGTGTTGGCCAACACACATCTTTGGCAGGGTAGCATTTCAAATTCACTCTGACAAGAAACTCGGGTTTAACCACACTCTCTCACCTCTCCATTCATTTGCATGAAAATATTTATTTATATCAAATCAAATGGCAGGCGTCTTAATGGTTATCATTAGCCCTTTAGTTGACTTAAGGCCTCACAGAGAAGAAGGAACATCAAATTGAAAAAAGTCGAAAAGTTAAATTAAGTTCTCAAGTAAATCCCCCAGCCCTCCCCCCCCCTCCAAATCGATTGGAACAAGCGCAACCGACAAGAGATCTCGTTCCATCAGAGCAAATTAGAAAGGGGTGAGGGGGGGGGGCAGTTTAGTTGAAAAAAAACAACAATTTGTTCGAAATGTTGTGAAAATTTCAAGACATTTGCAAAATATTTTCCATATTCAATAAAATTGGACCCAGGAAATTGTGCAATAAAAAGGAAGCAGGGTTTTAATGCTACAAGTGCTCCAATTTGTAAAATTTGTGGTCGAAGTCCTTAAATGTAGATAAAAGATATGGGATGATCGGAATGACCAGATAGAATGCTAATTATAAGCAATGTCTACTATAGGAGGGATACGAGTGGTGTCCAAAATGAAGAATTTTCCATTTGGGATTTCCCACTTCAAACTGTTCGTATAGATTCTAAGTTACGCGAGGTTGGTTACAGGAGAAAATGTCGATAAATACTATTCGAAAAGAGTATAAAAGTAGAATTACTAAATTAGGCCGAGGGAAAGTCAGCTAAACATGAATGATCTTACTAAAGGCTAATCGTAGGTAGGAACCTTCCCAAAATCGGGAAATTAGATGTCGAGTGGAGCTACAAGCACATTGAGCACAAAAAAGAAATGAGACATGTGGAGGTGGGGTGTTTAAAAGTGTAAGAAAGGAAAATAAATGCCATATTAGCCTGAGTGATATCGGAGCTGCGATTGAGAGGCTGTAAAGTCATTTGCGTAAATCAAACAAGTACCACAACAAACAAGGTAGGATTCAAGAATCCTTACCTAACGCTTGAGAAATTCGCGTTACATGGCTCTAAATTACCACAAGCCCCGACTCATTTTGTCTTCACAAACCAATCTCAAACACTGAAACAGAAAACCACTCCAATTTTTTTAATTTCCTCCCTTCGAAGATTACTGATAAAAACTCAACTACTCGTAATTGTCTTCTTTCTAGGGAACCAATATGATAGTGATGATTGATAGGAAAAAAATAGGCGAAAATGGCCTCTGAACAGCTAGGAGGAGATAGCATGATTTTACTTCAATTAAGGAAATATAAACAATATAATAAATCAAGTCCCTATCTCAAAACACAAAGATGATCACTAGAACGTTCAAAAAATGGAGTGATAATTGGAAGGAAAATTAATTTAATCTTAATACCGAACTGAAAAAATAGCAGAAGATAAATGGAAATAACGAGACAAACGAAAACGCGCCAAGCACGATAAACTGGCAAAGATATTTATAAAAAGTACAGCACAAGAAAATAACTCACGTTGAATTTCCCGTAACAACAGAGAGAAGAATGAAATTGAGGAAGAGAGCAAGGAGATTGGAGAGTGTTTCCTGAAAAGAAAACAATGTATATACTACTTATATTTTGGAAGTAGAATAAAAATTATACTCAATATGGCTTCAATATCGGATAAGAGACGATAAATAGGACACTTAACAAGAAATATTATTAAAACATACTATGTAATCCTAACATTAGTAATACTGCTACCGAAATAGCCCGGTGACCTAAGACAGATTTGTTTACTTAAAAAATAACTAGCGATTTGTACCATCAAGAACCACTATATTAAAGAATGGCAGGACTATCAACTCACTTGACTACCGTCTTTAGCAGCAACGTCTGCCATGTTGTTCTCGAGAGCCTGATGTTGGGCGATCGCCGCACGAGTGGCTCCGCCAACCACACCAACCAAGGCCTTGATCAAAAATGCAAAACATTTCATTAATAAGTATGAAAATACTACATAATACATTAATTTTCAAATCTTTAGAATACGTTACATTCAAATGTCATAAGGATTAATTGATGAGCATGATAAAGAGAGCGTGAGCACATGTTAATATAGAATTACGCAACCCACACTTTGCAAGAACTTCATACTGCCGTTTACATAGCAAACGCGTTCAGATTATATTACAAACAGTCTTCGTAACGTATCAAAAGGAAAACCGGGTCGGAGAATCGAAATATGCAAACAGGCAAAATTGGCCTTAAGAAATTCAGCTCCGAAAATTTTAACCAAGTCTAGTATTAACCGTTAACTCAAATATTTGTTGCGCTAAACAGTCTGAACTGATAAATCGAGATGGCATTAACAAATACGTAATTAAATAAGAGAGTGGGAACGATTGAATGCCTAAAGAATGAATGTGTCAAACTCCTGGTGCCCAAACTTTAATAAAACCACAGCCTCGAAATCGTATCCCCCCCCCCCCCCCCAAACAGGTTCTTAACAAATTGG